CAGCATCAGCAGGGCGCTCTGTTGCTCCTCCTGCACTCACTCAACCTTTCTCCTCCCTTTGCTGGAGGCCCTGCATAGCTGGGGAGGAAAGAAATCCCTTCTTGACTGGAGTGTGAAAGTGTGAAGCATAGATAATAATACTAGGGGAGATAATAGTGAACTTGCAGCAATCCTATAACATGGGCTAAAAGTCCATTTCTTGGAAAGAATCCAGGACTCAGCAAATGCTCAAATGTTTGAAAATTGTTTGGTTTGCTCTTGACAAACTGTTCCCATTTAATAATTTTCAAGAAATCATGAATCATTAAGTCAGTTAATTTGAAGGGAGAAATTGCCCTGGAAAACGTGGAGGACATTTGAGTGCAGTTTTCCAAGAATCCTGCAGTACAGAGTGATTATTTAGTTCTTTCAGGAAGGGTAGAGAATTAGAGTAATACAGCATTTTTAAAGACCACTTCATAAACCGCTGTAATTTTAGCCTTCTCCTTGCTCTGAAATATGTTCAAGCAGAGTTTCTTAATTCTTCAATAAGCTTCTATATAAACCCTTCAATTATATTAGAACCTTAAACTTGTTTTCCTGCCAGCATCTCCAATGTGCTAGTAGCATGCTTTGCAGAAAAAAAGGGGGGGGAAAAAAAAGACAGACAAGTGAAGACTGGAATTTTTGATGCTGTCTTGAACAATTTTCCAAGATTCATCTCAGATTTTTTTAAATTAGGAAAAAAAGATAATGATTAAAAAAAAAAAAAAAAAAAAGTGTCCTTTTGGTTGAACAGAGAATGGGGTTTTTTGAGTAGAAAAGGGGCGAGGTAACAGGGAACTCTAATGGGAAGCACAAAGGAAAAAGTGCAGAGAGAAACTATTTAGGGCGTGGACAAAAACCCGTTGTAGGTTCCAGCTGCAGGTTTACTGAATAGAGGATGTACGAAGGTTTTAGTCTCCTTTTTAACTCTGATGCGCATACAAGGTTTTCCCGCACCAACAGAACGTGATCAGTGAACAGGTCTGTGAACATTCAGCTCAAGGACAGGTTGACCAAGGACTTGAGGGTTTTTAAGCAGGGTTTTGCCCTTCAAAAAGATAGGCACAAGAAACACAGTGTTTTGGGCTAAAAGCTACCACAAGGCTAATGGCTGAGCTCCCTGCCGTGCAGGCACGATGTGCGCTCTACACGCAAGGGAGGTGAAGCCTCGGCTTCCAACCAAGTGCAACCTATTGGGGAACACACCTGCTGAATTCAAGATCAGGAAGACAGTGTGTTGGAACCAAAAGTAGGACTTAAAATTTAAACCGTATATGTAGCATCAATTGCATCCCTAAAATTTTCAGATGGGCACATAGGGGAAAAAAAGACAAAAGATGGCAAAGTCGATTTAAATCCATAATGCGCCATGAGATGACTCTCAGTTTCAAAGTTCTGCTCTCTCTGCCTCCTTCTGGCTTCTGTGGCCATTCTGAGAGGGGATGACAACTCCGTGAGGGCTGTGAGCTGGGCGGGAGGTGTCACAAGCTGGTAGACCAGCCACAACTGTTAAAAAAAAAATACGATTCTGGCTGTGGTGACTGCACTGTATGAGGGTGATGAAGTAACAAAGGAATTTGAAAGGACAAGGAAGACTTTATCAGTTTGTGCAAAAGCCTGATGAAGCTCTACAGATACAATAGCTCTCCTGCCTGAGGATGGGAGCCCTTGACATCTTTCCCAGACTCAGGAAATAAAAGTGTGATAAAATGCAGACTGCATCAGCAGCTGTAAAAGTAAAATAATGGGTATTAAAGAATAATTTTCAATATAAATTATTCTCTGCAAATTTTCATCGAAGAAAGCCTACTGTAGGCACTTAGAGTACTAATGTGGACATGTGAATTAAGAAGGTAATGGAAGAAATCGACTTTTTAAAACATCAAATATGTCTTATAATTTCAGATGTGGATGCAAATATTTAGTCTGGATACTAAATTAAATTAAAAAAAAACCAAAACATAACAACTAACACCTCTTATTTTATTTTCTCGGCCTTTTCTGAAGTCTCTAAAGTCATCTTGTCTAAGATTCTTCATGCTGTTCATGGGACAGAAGAAATATAAAGTATTTTAGGAGCTCTTTAAGTAAGAACATCTTTATTTCTCTGGCTTACCTAGAGCTTGTTGAGCTGAAGAATGCAAAACTGACCATCTGAATGCTGATGTTAATGACAGAGGCAGGGAGCAGGGGTGGCAGGCTAGTTGTAGCCCCCTCAGTATTCCTACCATGCCAACTAAACTTCCAGAACAACAACAAAAACCGGCAAACACAACTATTTCTGTGTCATTCCAGTCCCAGAGTGCAGTTAAAAAAAACTGGAACAGTCTCCATGTCCCTGGGACTGTGTCTGGGCGAGTTACAGGCACCCACGTCTCAGCACCCGGACTTGGCCTGGCCAGGCAGCACCAAGGGCTGTGGGTGGGAGGTCGCCGGGTGCGCCTCCCTCCATCTGCCTTTCACACTTGCAGGGCCACATGCAATCTCACACCTATGAGTCATTGCATTAGCTTTGAAAAAGGGACTTCGGATTTACAGAATCTGTCCCAGAATTGGTTTATTAAATATGCATAATAATTCACCCTCCGTCTCACCCCTCTCTATCACAGGATTTTCTTAAAATGAAAAGGGATTCCAAAGCACAGGTTTTGTATACAAAAGCCTAAATATTTCTCAGCTGGATAAAAAACTTGTACCTGAAATGTATTGCCTCTTAAAGAAATCATTACTCTGTTACCACAACATAATCTCTTTGTTCAGCAAGTGTGATAAATATCGGCCTATTATCATAAGTCACTGCCAATAACCAAAGCCATTTATCTGAATGTGTCTCTGCCTCCCACAAATGGAATTATCTCACTTTCGAGTTAGCAGTTAAATGCTCATCTTACACATAGACATATACTGCCTACTGAAAAAAAATATTCTGAAAAGTGCTAACCTGAGAGTCAACATGAGGTTGACAAATGTTCATGTTTATGTTCTGTAATTAGTTTAACAGTTATTATCGGTGAGCAACAAGTTACTGTGATCCAGAAAAGATGCTCAGCTTTCCTGGGCGTAGGCAGATATTTATACAGAAGATGATCAACTGTATATGACCCACCACAGATGCTTTCGGTCATTGTTCATGCAGTATGAAAAGGCACACATATATACAGTGTGAGAAATGGAGGAAATTTTCCTTTGACTGAACTAGGATGAATGTGCTCAAAGCACCACAATAACTAACAGCAATTTAGCTCCAGCTAATGGTCTTAGTAGCTAAAGGATGACACAAATATGTAGAAGACTAAACAAGCAAAATAGCACAGAAGACTTCCTACGCTGTAAAAGCTGGAGGTTTTGACCAACTTCATGATAATTCTCAGACCATAGGTCACTGGGGATGACCTTGATGAGGTGCTTTCAGGGTCTTTTAGATGAGTTCATTTTCTGAAGGAGCACCACGTTTGGCCTCCTATTATCAAAACAACATAACTAAACCTGACCCAGCTTGTTCAAAGGCATCTAAGAGTGAGCTGAGAGGTTATGCTCAGATTTGGTGATGGAACAATGCAGAGACACAACATCCTAGGAGGAAATATTTGGCTCCATGTTATGTGCTCCTGCATGAAAGCGATTAATTTCAAATAAGAGTTGTAAGATTCTGTTTAATTAATGGCTTTCATGACAGGAAAAGACCTTCCCTAGCCAGCACAGCAGCACAGTTAAGAGGCAAACTGAAGCAGGTGGTGGGTTTGGGAGGGGAAAGAGAGAGCAGATGTTAGCCTGAAAATTTGGAACACTCTTCAAGTCCTGTAGCAGGAGCCCAGTTTCCATCAATGCATATTGTAGGAGCAATTAATCGGGACCACCCAGGCCTAGGATTTGCCAGAATCAAATTTTCCATTCATGCAACATACTTCCGTGAAGCTGAATGTTTGTTTAAAGTTCTTCTAAAAGTCATTCAGTCTTCACGGTTTCTCCCTAAGAGATATATCTTCCCTCTGTTTTGTAGATTTGGGGAAATCTGAACTCTTAGAATATGGATCTGGAGCTTTAGGAGAGTGGAAGCTGGGAATCTATCACTGTTTAGCAATGTTTATCTACTTTCACATGCTTAAAAAAAAAAACCCAAAAAACAAACAACCCAAATTCCAAGTTAATCAGAAATTCTTTTTTGAGGTTTTGACTTAATTCTGAATTAAAATTGCAATATTTTTTTTTTTACATTTGAATTCCACTTTCCATCACACTGCAGTAGAGGGTCTTGATTATGATAAATTTGTTACTTTTTCTATATGTTCTTACATGACATTACAGAAAAGGTAACGGTTTTGATGGTTGCAAGTGGCTTTGGAGGCTAACTAACACGAGATGTAGGTCAGAGGTGGTCAGGGAGCATTAGAGAGCAGACAGGTGAGACAAGAGGCTTGGTCTGCTGACCTCACTCAGGCTGCAGCATCCAGCTGTTACCTCCGTCGAAGCAGGAAGATCTAGTGTGAAGCAAACACAGATGGTTTGGGAATGGGGAGGAGCTGGACTAAATTCTCTAATTTTATAATCTGTGGCCAAAGATGCCGCAGCATCTGCTGGGTTCATTCCCTACCTTCATGTAAATCTCAGACAAGGGAGGAAGACCCTCGGTTTGGTATGGTTACAACTTTTGGTCCCTGCTGAAGTCTTCAGAGATTCATAGTCATGACCTGCCCAAGAAGCACTGTGCACCACGATCAGGCCCTTGGGCAGTCTATACGTCCATCGCTATCACTTTAAATAAATGCCATAGCTGCTATAATATGCCCTTTGCAAATACCCTTCTCCATGTTACAATAGCTGAGAAAACGTAAATCAAACCATAAACGAATACATTTTTCGGGACAGTCATGGTCCCACTGAAATCTATCTTGCATTTATTATTTTTCAGGTGACATCAAGGAAACGTAATTTAGACATGAAGACGCATTCACCAGAGACCCAAAGAAATAACTTACCTTTTTGACCTCGTATTTAATAGCAAGTTTAATCCTGCTCAGACTCGGCCGGTGGTGCTCAGGGCACAAATGTATGTTCACATCCCCGTTCAGAATAGCCTCTACTTCTTCGGTGTCTCTGCACAGGTCCAGCACTCCCACGACAAAGTCCTTGCATTGCATAGAGAGCTTCCTGTAATCATTCTGGTGGAAAACAGGAAAAAACTCGTTATTTAATTGTGCACTTGAAAGCATGCCTCAAATGAGCAAACAAAAGCAAGAGAGAGAAATTGTGAGCAAGGTTACTTCTGCAAAACTACTGGTTGGAAGAGGAAGAAAGCACTTGATTTCACCCCAGATGTAGCATCTCTGGCTTTTCACAAATATACATGAACTCCTCCAGCCTTAATTAGCAACGCTTCTATCAGCAGCAGAGTTTACATTACAATACAGCATGCTTTACAGGACAACGAGTAAAGAATTTCTAGGGAAATTCTGATTTTAAGCAATCGCTTGATCTCTCTCCTCTGTGAGGCATATCTTCTACAAATGTGAAAAGATGGCCGAGCAAAAGTCCTGCTAATGGGTTAGAATTTACAGCAAATTTTACGGTTTAGATTATTTGGTAGTAATTCTTTCTTTAAGTAACTTTCAAGGAGTTTCAGCCTGGTACAACAAGCTGGAGCATCACATACACATGTGTTTAAATAAATTAATAGAGCTGTAGTACTACTTTCAAACGTATTACCTAACAATTGAGTTAAACAGTCTCGGAAGATCATCTAGAGGATCATTTTTGTCATAACACTTCTCCAGGAAACGGGACTTCAGAAACTCAACATGACTTCCTATGAAATAATTTCACCTTGCAAACCCAAATTACACTTACGGGAAAAGAGATAGTATGTAGCTGACTCGTTAGAGGGCTAGAAGAGCAATTTCAATGCCTTAAATTAAATTGTGATTGATTTTCACACGCTGACACTTAAAAGATGAAGAAAATGCCATCATCTGAGTAAATTAGAACACAATTAAGGCTATCATTAATATCCTGATAAAATGGTGATATTAAAGACGCAATGCAACAAACAAATAATAAGCATAAGACAAGCTCTTACTGACTTGAGAGATCTTTTCAAATTGGGTTTGATGAGTTAATTAAATTCAGCAGCTTATCTAATTAAGCCAGCAGCCAAAAAAAAAGAACATAGTTAAACCTGTCTTTGATGAAATGGTAAGAGTAACCTGGCTTTGTATTCCTATGTTTTCTAAATTATTCATTCTAACCATTACACATAGCACCATATTAGCTGTCCTGCTTAGGCAAAGATCTCAAAGCACTATGCAAACATTCATTAATTAGATAGAACAGCACGGTCTAAAATAGGATGTTAGGGATGGCTGAATTTCCTTGGACAATTTTCCCCCTTCAGAATGTGATGCTCTTGATAATGATTATTAAAAAAAAAAAAAAAAAAAAAAAAAGTTGGTTTAATGACTTTGTAATAGGTTTGAGGTTTCTTCTAATGTGTGTGTCTGTGTGTGTGTGTCCGTCCCAACTTTTCTTACTATCCTGCCCTGTATGCTGAAGGCTCTGAGGAGCTGTTTCACTCGGCACAGAAAAATTCAATAGTCTTAGGCAACCAGAAAATTCTTCAGGGCTGGAATTAAAGCATTCTTGCAGAAATGGGATGATGCCATTTCTGATGGGTGTTTAGGAGAAGAGGCGGAGGAGGAGAGATGGGGAATAGCCTGCGCGAGACCTTCTGCAAGGTGGAACTTACACATTTACATCCTCTTATCTGTCAAAAAGGTTGAAATCGGACTTCCCTTTTCCTCCTTGAGTGCTGTAATCAGACCACATGTTCTAATTGGGGTGTTCATAAATGGAGAGCAGCAAGAACTTCAAATCTTCATTAAAGGAAGACATAACAACAAGCAGCTGTGTATCTCTGGTAGGGCAGGTGCATGCCCCATTGCAGAAACTGGGGCATCAAGACGTCCATAGATGTGCTAATTTGGTGCATTAAGATTTAAGATTTCCTCAAGGTTCAGGCAGAAATTTATTCTACATTTGCATCTAAATCTATTATCTCAGTATTTTGGGGAGACAGGGTTTGTCGAGTGAATGTTATCAAATACGGGGTGAAGTAAGGCCTGAAATGTAAATGAAAGACAGATTGTACTTTACGGGTTCAAAGCTCCCCTCTCTAATCAATTCTGTGCTTCTCTAATCAATTCTGTGCTTTAATCTTCACCGTACAAAGATGAATTTCAATAAATAAAAAGCTTGTGCTTGTGTGTTCGTCGAGAGAATAGATGCCCAAACAAAAATGTCAGTCTGGAAGTAACTACAGGAATCGTGAAGGACAGCAAATACAGATAGATCTGAAAATAGATGTAGGCTGGGAATTAAATATCTAGCTGCCACAGGTAATGAAGACACATAATTAAAAAAAAAAAAAAAAAAAAAAAAAAAAAAAAACAGCAAGGGTAAGAACTCTGCTAAGCTTTAATACCATTCTCTACATACTGTTTGCAAAGTTCACAAGCCAATCTCTTAGCCAGCACATTTTAGGCAATTCTCATCACCATTCCACATCCTCCGAACAACTAGTCTGTATTAGCTCAGATTATTTTTCCTCTTCTGCTTTCTTTAAGGAACGCTGTTTAGTTAGCAGCTAGGAAAGTGCTTCTAAAGCAACTGTAAATGGCAGGCTCCCAGCTGGCAAACTCTATCAAGACCCAGCTTTATTCACATCCCCAAGCCTAATGTTTTACTGGTTCTGTACATTTGCAGAGATTATGAATGATTTTTTTCCTGTTCAAAATTATTTTCTCTAATTTTTAAGAAGACACAAACAGCAACACAACCCACCCAAGATACAGGCTATATAAAGAAAAATAATAAAATACAAAAATAATAAAATAAATTTAAAATTTTTTTTAAATTAAAATATTTTTCAAAATTAAATAAACTAAAATATAAAAAAATAAATTTTAAAATTTTTAAAATTTTTAAATTTTTTAATTTTAAAAATTAAAAAAAATAAAATTAAAAATAATTTTAAAAACTTAAAAAAAAAAAAAATCCCTTTCAGCTAATCTGCAGCCAGGCAGGAGAGCAGTTTACTGCTCTCAGGAGACTTTGCTCACGTGTTAAGACAAACCTCAATGATCACTGAACCTGCCGTGTCTTCTGATGATCCCTTTTACAAAAGCATTTGTCACCCGGCTTCTGTAATGCTCACGGTCAGCACAGAAAATCCCGTTCGGTCTGCGGGTGAGAACAGAACCACTCAGTGACTCTCCTCGCGTCAGTGCTTTTCCCTTTGCAAGCCCAGGTTACTGGCTGTATCCTTACTAGAAACTGAGATTAACTGGAGACTGACAGCCAAGCTTCTCCCAACGCTGCCTTGCGTAGCGTCGCTTGGATGACGCAAGCAGAAATTACCTATCCGCATATAAAGTACTGAATGGCGAGTCATGAAAAGCTCGCGGAAGCCAAGGAGGTTTCCAAGCTGTGGGCAAGTTGTGTTGGTGCGCGTGCCCGCGCTGGTTAAGCTGCCCTTATTTCAGCCCTTTGGAAGCCCGCGAGACCCTGCACAAAGGGGTGCTGTGACAGCGGGGGGACAGAAGGCTGCAGCCCCAGGGCAAGGGGTAGTGAAGGGTGGAAGAGTCAGGAGGAAGAGGGGAAGATGGAACCAGGATGCGTTTCCAGTTACTTTTTGTTGCACCGAGGTTTGTTGGAGATCAGAGCCCTGAGGACGCCCGGTGACTCTGCCAGGAGACAGAGCGACAGGCAGCCGCTGTGCCTTGGGGCGCAAAGGGCCAGTCCCCATTTCACAGCTGCCTCTGCCAGCCAGGGTTGACCCCCAAACCTGGCACTTCATGGCCCTCCCAGTCTAAACACATTTCGGGGGGGACCCGTCGTGGTTGCAAGCCTGGCCAGGAGGTGAGCTGCAAGTGGGCGTCCTCCCTCCCACCGCAACAACAAACTGACAGCTGGAGACACAAAATCCTGCTCGGTCCTCTCGGCAGCGTTGTGAAAACACACATCGGCAAAGACAATAACCCAAACCTTCCTACTCCTATTAGCTACCACACTGTAGAGGTCTGAGGATTATTGAGTTTCCTAAAACAGATGGATCTTTACAGGAAGGAAAACTGCAAATAACACATGAGGGAAACCGGGGCCTCATCCTGACAAGGTGAACGCTGTGAAGCTTCAGGGAGGAAGATGAAGGATACAACCAAGTGCACGAGACAGCCAGTCTCCTTCAAATAACACATGGAACAGTATTTCATTTCCTATAGAGACAGCGAGAGCAGAGAAGGATCAGGATAATGCTTGAGAATGTTACAATATAATTTTTTAAAAACTAGAACATAATAAAAGGATTCCAAATTAGTCATTTCCTGCTTCTTCTAACACTGTTGTGCATGTGGAGTTAAAAATGTCTAATTTAGCTGTTTTGAAAAGGCTGATGGTACTTGTCATTCACTGCAATGTCTCTGAGTACCCTATTATTATCTGTTGATTATGTTCTAAATGAACTCTGTCATGTCTCCACATCTGTTCAAAACCACCCAGATTTCTTCAGAAAAGAGATGTTTCAGGTTCAGCGGGATGCAGTCTGAGTAAAAAAGTTAAGTGAAATGAGAAAAAATAAGACCAGCAACCTATCTTGTTTAGTTAATGGAAAGAAAAAAAAAAAAAAAGAAAAAAAAAAAAAGCTATTTAAAAAGCAATCAGAGTCGAGGATTGAAAAGGAACCTCATCCCTGGGAGCCCACCTCTGAGCCGCCAGCACTGCAGGTGCAGCTTGGACAGCACATAGAGGTGTCCGGCCTCGATGCTGCAACTTATAGTGAGTGGGTCTGAGATTTGCTGAACCCCTCAGTGCAGATGAGCTTTCCCCAGAAGCTGGAGCGAGGCCAGTGGTTCAGAAACTCAGAGGATCCAACAATTTTATATGCAATTACAAACTACCTTCTCAGCCCCAGATTCAGGAACACACTTGGGTTTATCTTTAAGTCCTGCTGATGCTGATGAAACTCTTGCAAGCTTTGTTTCAGGGAAGCACTGAAGCAATCTTCTTTCAGGCTTCGGGAATTTTGAAGTGGGATGAGTTTGTCCGACAACCTGCGGGGGTTGGTTTTTTTTTTTTTTGTGGTAATCATTGTAGGTTAGTCACCGCACAG